TAACACAATAAGCGCCATCTATCGTGTAACTTTGTATAATTTTGTTTTCAGTTTCACGTGGCATATTTAGTACCACCGGCAATACATATCTGTAGTGGTATATATTTCATTCACATCTTATACTTATAGTTACAGACTCACTGGTTAGGGACTCGATCAGTTTTACTTTTTTGTAAACCGTTTCTTTTGCGAGTACTTTTTGTAGAGCAGAATTTTAAAGCAATATAACTAACAGAATGAAACATTCAGGGTTAATATATAAAGTTCTTCATGTAATCTGACGCTGGTCGAAAGCACTTAATCATTCGTGGAAGAGAGTGCTTTACATTAGTAATTGATAGCTTCTAAAAGTCATATTTCCTCCCCTATTTTTTCAGTTTAATTATTATTCATAACGTCTGTTCATTAGAGCAAAACAGTTAATATAGAGAATATATTCATACTATACAGGATAGTTCCAATGCTTTTGAGAGTGGTGCTCCACTAGCTAGTAGCAAGTTTGTCACAGCGCAAGTGCTTGGTGCGAGACATGTTTAATTCCAAGCACGAGGCAGGCGATAAGAAAAGGGTTTATTGCGATGAGATATCATACTTCTTTGGAAGTTAATGCCCTGGGAAATGAAGAAAATTGATGATGGGGCCCGAGAAAGATGAAAAGGAAGCTATTTTATTGGTCGTAAAATGTTGAAGCTCGTGCGACTTTCTTGCATTGGCTGAAGCTTGAAAGAGAAGCTTTCCTGCAAAATTTCACATATTTTACCGCTATTACTCGCACACTGTAACTAACACACGTTGTTGTCATGGTAACGTTTAGCTCTGAGTAGGCACTCCTAGTAGTTACGCAGGCCAGCAAGTGATCTGTTAATTTTGTGTTTTAATCGCAAATATGATACAAAGTGATTATAAAGAATACCCCATTGTTAAAAATTATTATTTCTCTAAAAGATATTTGTTCACCGGAAGAAAATTCCACTAGAGACGCATTGAAAATCATAAGTTTTATTCAGGAAAGTTTGGACACATTACAGGCTGTTTCAATTTGATATTATGCTGCATACCTAAATCACTTTTCTCGAGAACTAACATTAATTTTATTTCTCCTCTTTCCCCTAGCTTTAACAGTATATAGAATACTTGGAGGGTCATTGAACATTGTCTAGAACATATTATGCTTCTAGTAACTTCGTTGAGGCATAACCTCGATTTACTGATTGAGGAAGCGTGTTGAACACTTTATGTTACAATTCTAAAACACCCTGTACCATGTTCAGACTTTCCTGAGTAAAACTCATGATTCTCAATGTGCCCCTTGGATATAACCTCTTTAAATATGGTGTATTCTCTGTATTCATTCTGTGTTTATATCGTTAAACATTTAACACAACCCCTTGTTTGTAGTTACAGGCCAGCAGTATTGTTTGAGGTGATGTATTATACAGTTACAGCGCAGTAGTAGTATCTGAGTCGGTGAATTCTACATATTTACAGCACAGAAGTGTTGTTTGCAGTGGTGTATTCTACAGTTACAGCACAGAAGTATTGTTTGAAGTGGGAGACTACTTATTTACCGATAGAATACTGTGTTATTCGTATGGTGTACTATGTGAAACTCAAACACAACATGTTTTATTCATAATGCTATCTTTCCGTATTTCCAATAAACACTGGGGAGTTTGTAATGGTGTAATCTATGTAATTTATCACATTATGTAGTGGTGTAATTTCACTCTACTTCGCAACGACGTGTTGCTTGTAATGATTTAATCTGTTTTTCAAACGCATCACGGTATTTTTAATGGGGCACTTGTCGTACTTTGCAATAATGTGTAGTTTGCAATTATAAATCATACGTACTTCACAACACTTCATTTTGCAGTAATGTACTCTATAACACTGTAGGTAATAAAATGCCCTCCATCTACTTTACGACGTTTTCTTCTTTTTGTGACGTAATCTACGTATTTTACAAGATTGTGTATTTTCTAATGTATTTTAAATTTAACAATGTTTATTATGTAATAGTATACTCTACGAACTTTTCAAGTATATGTAGTATCTAATGATATATTCTACGTACTTAACATGTACTTCAAAGCAGTGTCTACATACTTAATACGTACATTACAGCAGTATCTATATACTTAACACAACATTTTGAAGATTCCAATACTATGTTCTGCGTACTTCCAATATAAGTGTGTTGTAGTAATATAATTTAGGGATTATCTATACAATGTGTGTAGTAATAAAATACTCTTCTTACTTCCGACAAAACAATGTGTTATAATGACATACTTCAGGGATTACCTATATAATGTGTGAGTAGTAATAAGATACTCTATGTATTACCACATCACAGTGGTGTAGATTGTAAAGGTGCTTCTATGTATACAGTACTGTTTAGTTTACAATAGCGTACACTGCGTACTTTCACTAAGATACCGTGTTGGAGAATCTTCTTTGGACTTGTAATAGTGATCAAAATACACAATAAAAACGTTATTTAGAGGCTAAAAAAGCTTAGTTAGAAACACTGGAACAAGTTCTGTTGTTTTCAAGTGTTTACAATTTAAAGAAGTTTATATTGTGGTTTAAAAAAACTTTTTTTATTTAAACAACGTGTTATTTGAAATGTCATACTCTACAGTCTCTAGTGATTTTGTTTATTTCATTTTCTTCATTTAGCTTAAACGAATTGGCGAGATTTTTAATTTCTACGTTACTGATAACACATGCATTCCAAAGTGCAAAATATTTGAGTTTCCTTGTTATATTGCTATTGTAACACATAGAAACTATCATTTGAAGTTTATGAAATATTAATTACTCAGTCGCCAGAATTTCACTGTTTATGTTTGTTTGTTTGTAATTGAGCACAAAGCTACACAATGGGCCATCTGTGCTCTGCCCACCACGGGTAGCGAATCCCGGATTCTAGCGTTGTAAGACCGCAGACATACCGCTGTGCCACTGGGGGGGGCAACACTGTTTATGAAAACTGTCGCGTATGTGCTTTCAACACACAAACACATATACAAAAACATTTCAAAATAATCTTCTAATAATATTCTAAACTTTGCTGAATGATTGTAGTAACATCTAGTGATGTGATTAGGAGAATAATTCCTATGTAAATCTTCTCTATGAAAATATCTACTAAAAAAAACCACTCACTTTTGATAATAAATACTACGTGAAATGTAATTAGTTATATTTCTCTCTCCGTCTCTAGATTAAAATATTAATATCAATTTAGTGGGTATTTGTCCTCGTGTTTTATAAAGCTAATAAACACATCTAATTTAAACTTTTCATCCTCTGTTGCTGTCAAGCGGATCGACGTGTGTTCTTTTTCTACACAAACTTCCCCTTAATAAGCAATTATCGTTCCTCTTTTGTGTCTTTTGATCAACACACGTTCCTACCATAAGCCGAATATCACTATTGTTTCGAAGTCTCCTTTAAAGCCTGACAGGCTGGCGATGAAGAGAAAGAAAGATGACAAGGTTACAACTTCGTGACAGGACAATCGGTGACACACAGTTTAATGAAATGTCAGATAAATTGAAAACACGCACACAACATGAAACATTATTTTTTTTTTTACTAATTTCCTTCAGTTTCTTGTTTCTTTGCTTTATTTCTTCGGGGAAGTACAGAGAATTCGCAAAGTTTTTTTGTCAGCTGCGAACATTTTTCTTCCAATCAGAACAGAATTTACTTTATGCCTATAGATTTTTATTTTTGGTTAAACTAAACCGCTGAACGATGTATGAAGTGTGTGTTAAATAATACGAAATTCGATTCAATACAAATACTATTGATCGATAACATTTAAAGTCACTGTAAAGCTATTAATAAATAGTATTTTAAAGTCATATTTTATTTTTCATAGTTTTCTATTTGTCCATTGACTAACACAACTTCTAATTTTCTTGTTCTTATTTCTCATTATTACTCTTCACAATTATCAATGAAAGTTTCCTCATGGTTTTGGAGTTGCCAACCTCTATTTGTTGGGTTGTTAAAAATACTGTTTATAAATCAGCTTGTTTTTTTTATTAACCTAAATATAAAAGGTGTTCTTACATAAGATCATAGCAGGACAGAAATTCACGTACGTCATTCTGTGAGGCTTTTGGGGCGTAGTAAATTTTGGTAAATCATAGACAACAATGAGATTGTTAGATAAAAAAAAAAGGTTTGGAATATTTCTCCACTTGTTCAGCTTCACTCTTTCAAAAGAGCGCTTCACCACACGTGCCTGAGGCTTAAAATGTGTTCTATTCAGCTGAGAATGCAATGTGGGCGATTTACTATGTGGACTCCCTTTGTGCTGTTTCAAAAGGTTTTATTTAAAGAGCTTTAATCTTTATGTCTGGTACACGGTTTCGATGATGAAACATCTCTCATTTTCCTATGCCTAATATATTCTCTATATCATTATGTGACATTAGGGTTACCTGTTTGAATTTGAAATGCAAATGGTAGCTACTGTTCTGTAATAAACGTTAGTTGTTTACAGTTTAGCATTGGAAAATATGCTATTAACAATTTCCATTAATGATTTGCTCCACCATTAAGCGCCGACATGAAACCTTTGACGTAATATATATGTAACAGAAAAATTAGTAATCTGCCAAAGTTTATACTTCTGGATTCAAATTCATTTCGACTCGAGAAATCAGTGACGGTTAGGGTTGAATTGCAATTTTTTCAGCTAATTCGCCTTATTGAATAATAAATTCTTATGGAAATATACATATATGTGTGTGTGCGTGTGTATATATATAAGAAATGTATCAATATATATATATATATATATTATATGCAAGAAAAAGTATTTATACAAATAGCGGATTAAATCTGAATGACATCCTTAATCTTTACCGTTTATTCTAAAATTCTTAAAGCAGGCATTATATGACTTTATTTATCCAAAACTATTTTATTAATCAGTTTGCAGAATATAAATCTTAATGTTGTTTGTTTTCTATTAGAAACTTGCCAAGAAACGAAACCTTCAGATGGGAAAGGTAAAACAGATGAGATTAACGGTAAGAAAAATACTTTCAATGGTTTCACTTGCAAGTAGAATAAGCTCTGTTAATTCTATATTGAGGTGTTTGTAACTTTAAGCTTCCACTGGTATTTTTCGTACCTCTCTTGTTTTAGTGTATGTACATAATTTTGTTTTTTGCATACGCATATCGACCATATTTTTCCAAATTTCTTTTTCTTTCACAGCTGCAACATATCTGAGTTTCCGGTGATACTAAATAAAGCTAGAATACGACCTGAGTTGAATGTTTGACAAATTAAAAAAAAATATACGGAAAAATCAAGGATCCAGTATATAATGTAATAATATTAGTGCGTATAAGTAAAATTCGTTTAATGCTCGAATAATATGAAATATACATATATATATATATCTCGTCCCCTCCGGTGAGGGAGCTAAAATCTAGGGCTTGGTTCCCGCGGTGAGAAGAGAGCACAGATAGCCCCCCCCCAAACATATATATATATATATATATATCCTCACCTACGTAGTGATTGTAATCGAAGGAGCATCTTTAAAAAAGTATCTTTACACATTTGCTTCTATGCAAACGGATGTGTTGATTTTTGTATACATAATAAGCCAGCAGTTATATGTTCTCGATGAAATGTTCATCTAATATCAGCAACAAGCTTTATCTGTAAAACTTTCCTTTAGGTGTTATTATTATCATATCTCATTTTAATATTGTGTTAACCTTTACGATATGGTATTGAATTATTTTCTACCATATCTAGCACATTTTTTATAGTTTTTAGGTTTTTTATATACTGCTGGAATCAATCTTAAATTTGTAGTGATACTAGTATGACTCTTATATATATCTCTTGTAATGGCCATCTTTTACTTATATACCTCTTGTAATGGCCATCTTTTACTTATATACCTCTTGTAATGGCCATCTTTTACTTATATACCTCTTGTAATGGCCATCTTTTACTTATATATCTCTCGTAATGGCCATCTTTTACTTATATACCTCTTGTAATGGCCACCACTTAAATTCTCACTTTTAGTCTATAATAAAAATATATTTATTACCATGTAGGAAAGAAGAGTTCTACATAACAGTTTCTTTGTCATTTTGTATATAAATTCTACAACAATCCAACTTTGACCTTTTTTTAACAATATTTAGAGGTCAGTCAATGTACCGGGTATCACCTTTGAGTAATTATATACGTGTCCACAAAGTAAAGCGATTTATTAGTCAATATAGTCCGTGGAGCGGTTTCCAGGCATAAACGTAACTCATACATGAAATATTGAATAGGACATTAAGAATCAACGTACAGCTGTGTGCAAGTGTGTTTGGCTTTCTGTATATGTGTAGAACTTCGTTTTGAAAGGACGTCATTTAACCCTTTGAAATATTCGTATAATGTAGGAACGTACGTAATTATGCCGGCCACGTGCTGGCTTCCCAAGTTGTGGTAACATTGTTCATTAAATATATTTCTAAATCAGAAAGATTGTCTTGGAGTAGGGAAGGCAGACACGTTATCAGTGCTAAAGTCTTATGTGTAGACGCAACCGTAATGTTACTTAAAATCTGACTCATTTTGCCTTTAGAAATTAATTATGGGTGTTTGAAGTGAGAAAATTATTTCCTGATTGCAAATCGTGCTGGGTCGAAACTTATAGTAATTATCTTGTCAACGTTATGTAAAAGTTTCACAATAAAATATTCATTCTTAGTCTATAAATAACTATTCTTGAGCTAGAAGCACGATCATCTATTTATATATGTAGATATGATATGATCAGTAACCGAAGTGTGACTGATATATGCACGTGGAAAATTAATACAACGCACATTCATGTCTTTCTACCTATTTGTTAATCTATGCAGCCTCTAACATAACACATCTCAGTCATATTTTGAAGTCTGCCTCTCTGCATCTTCGTTCATCTTTCCACCTGGATATTTGTTTCTCAAAGTATCCCTTGTTTGTCTGTTTGTATCTCTAACTGTTCACTCAGTCATGTTTAGTGTTTATAAACGTTTAATGTAAAATCTTTATTTAATATTTTATTCACTCTCTTTGCTTTGTACATATATTTTCCTACAATTATTTGTCTAGGCTGTGCACATGTCATTTTGCGATTGGCCAACCTGAAGTATCTGAGGATCATCGCGTTGAATTTAACCACATGGAGTAATAAATTTTCTCTATGACTGATTAGTTAATGCAGCCGCTTTTCTATCCCTACATTCCTAATATACAGGCCCTCCAATTCATTATACATGACGTCATCTTAGGCGAAAACTCGTAGAGCTGGTAATGAATTATTGTCAGGGATCAACAAAGGGACACAGGGGCTGTTGATCATCTCGGAAATTTGTTATCGACATACGTTCGTTCCTACTGGGGAAAGACCAAAAATTAGAAGCATTTTAGCACGAGCAGGAATTGGACAAAAGCAGGATCTTGATAAACATTATTTGTTTTATACCTCTGTCTGCTGTTGTTTTACGCAGTTTACTCTTTCTCTACTTCTTTTAAAATTTGATATAAATGTTTATTCATTAAAAGAAGTTCTAAATAGGTCTCAAAGTTTTCGTGTTTATATATATATATATATATATACTGCTGGAATCAATCTTAAATTTGTAGTGATACTAGTATGATTCTTATAGTATATCTATTGTAATGGCAATTTTAGTTAGTGTATTGTATGATCACGAACTTTTTCTTCATGTCAAAACTAATGCTGAACACCATGTTGTGAACTAGGGTGTTCGCTATGGATATATTAGTTAAAGTCATGCATAATAAATTTTAAAGTCAGGTTGCTAATAAAAATAAGCTTTTCTGTATACCAAATATTTTTCGAACTTTTGTAGTAAATCACACCATTAAGAGAAAATTATATGGATTACTAAACAAATAAAAATTCCGGTACCAAAAAATGTTTAATACTGTTGTTTTAATCAGATCATTAATATGTAATACGTTCATGTAATCTAGGATCACTATTATTATTATTCCATTATGGATTAGTAGAAATAAGTGGTACAATAATGTTGGATTACTACAAATAACTGGTACAATAATGTTGGAATAATAAGAATAAGTGGTACGGTACTGTTGGATTAGTACAAATAGCTGGTACAATATTATTGAATTAGTATAAATAAATGATACTGTACTGTTGTTTTAGTACAAATAATTGGTACAATACTGTTGGATTAGTATAAATAAGTGGTACAATACTGTTGGATTAGTATAAATAAATGGTACAATACTGTTGGATTAATATAAATAAGTGGTACAGTACTGTTGGGTTGGGATCGGAAAGGCGGTTTAATAGCTTTGTGTGGTTGCATTTGTTTATAGAAATTGTTGTACTATGAGCATAGTAAGTCTTGTTGATTATGTATGGCCGCTGGCTACCTGTTAATCAGTTTTATCACTCTAAAAATAATTACCGAAACACTAACAACGGTTAAGATTCTACGTATACATTCCTTATTTAAGTTAAAACATTTTCTCTTTATTTAGATTGCTCATGAGCACTTTACTAATACCCGTTTGATTACCTAATTCAAATAAAGGTATAGTACCTGGCCACTTAGTTCTTTATGTCAGTTAATTAAAATGTTTAAATATTTTACTTTCAACTATATTTTTTTTTACACGAAGTTTCAGTCGCTGAAATTTTCATAAGGAACTAGAAAGCATTCAGCAAACATATACCAAAAAGTATAAAGCTTGACGTAGAAAGATAGCCGGATAATAACATACTTTTTTAACTATTCAAAATGTTAAAGTATACATTTATTTTGTCTGTCAAGAGTTTAATAAGACGAAGTGCGGTGAAATTAAAAAGTCTTATTTTTATGATTTTGATATTGAAATTGAAATTATATATGACTGCTTACTTTCATGGTTGCATTCCAAATGTGTTGAGCAAAAAAGACGGTTTTACAGGGAACGGCGTGACTTGTGTGAGGAGTAGTTTAAATCATGCTATTTGGATGCCAGAGTTCAATTATTGGTTCCTGGCAGGGTATTTAAAACTTGAAATTCGCAAAAATAAATACCGTAGTTATAAGCCCATTGCCAAATATAAAGACAGTTGCGCGAGACATTTCACGATCTTTCGTTTCATCTTCGAACAGATTTATGTTGCTTCTATGACAAGAGAGAAAGCTTACTTATCATAAGTTTACTTATACATATATATTTTCCAGGCCCTGTTATTATATACAAACACTGTGCAGTATTCAAAGAGATAATTCTGAGGTAAAAATATAAGATTAACTGTGAGAAGCTGATTGAATAAAGAGCAGCTTCAACGAATTAGTCTCAGATATAGTGACTTTTATTATGACAGATACTCTGCAGAAGATGGAGTTATATGTTCATTTATATTCATAGAGCTAAACGCCCTCGTTGGATAAAACAAACGAGAGCCCCAAAACAACAGCAACATTTTAATTAATCTATTGCATACAGTGACCCGTGGCTAAGTGTGTTAATCTCTACAGTCCCGGGTGGGTCAATGGTAAGTTTACGATCTTACAAGCTAAAATTCTAGGTTCGATTTCCCGCGGTAGACAGATTGCGTTGTGTAGCTTTGTACTAAGAAACGACACTAACTACTCTCTGCAAAACTATAAAAACATCTCGAAACAATATGGAATTATAAATATCAATGAAATGAAATAATGTTTCAGCTAGGTTGAAAGAATGAATTAAATGAAATAATGTTTCAGCTAGGTTGAAAGAATGAACAAAATGAAATAATGTGTCAGCTAGGTTGAAAGAATGAATTAAATGAAATAATGTGTCAGCTAGGTTGAAAGAATGAATTAAATGAAATAATGTGTCAGCTAGGTTGAAAGAATGAATTAAATGAAATAATGTGTCAACTAGGTTGAAAGAATGAACTAAATGAAATAATGTTTCAGCTTGGTTAAAAGAATGAATTAAATGAAATAATGTTTCAGCTTGGTTGAAAGAATGAACAAAATGAAATAATGTGTCA